CTCTCTCTCTCTCTCTCTCTCTCTCTCTCTCTCTCTCTCTCTCTCTCTCTCGCGCGCGCGCGCGCGCGTGTGCACGCGCTTGTGTGAAGGAGGCAACAGGGAGAACGACAAACGGTAAGGTAAAAAAATATGGTTGTCTATCTCCCCGTGTTTCAACACAAGATTCATTCCATTTTGCATAGGAGGATGACCAAGAGGAGGACCGGAATGAGGAGGGAAAGGAGGGAGACGACAAAGCTGGGCGAAGGAGGAAGACAAAAAAAATATGTTGGTGTTACGGTGGTGTATCTCCCCATGTTCCAGCGCAATATTCATTCCATTTTCACAGGAAGAGAAACGGATGCCCTGGCCCCACTACTCTCTAAATGAATACTCCTCTAGAATATGGAAAGATACACCACCAATTTTTTCCTTTGACGACCTTGAGATATGATCATCAAACTGATGAACCCTGGCCAAGTAAGTATGGCCCAAGCTAATTCGGAATTGTAGTACTTCACTCATCTGCTTTCAGAGGAGTTCGAACTCAGTTTGGTAGCTGGTGCGTTCGGGTTTGGCTCAACACATCTTTTTTCTTCTTTTTTGCAAATAAAAACGGTTTAGCGTTTTGTTTTGGCTTTCAGGGGTCATTATACAGTCCGCTGCTCGTGCCATAGCCCTCGGGTCTGTTAAACTGTCTGGAGTCATTATACCACTTGGCCCCCGTGACATGGCCCTCCTCTGTGTTTCATCTCATCCCCACCTATGGGCCGCGGATTCGCCGTGGTGGGTTTGACTTATTGACTTGTGTTCATAATGGAAGCCATTGCCTCATTTCTCAAATAAAGGCCATCCACGAGGGCCTGGCATGGCCCAAACCCCTGGTGCTTGAACTCTTTAACACGTTGTATGGCAAACAGCAACAACTCGTGTTGAACAGCCGGCCAAACCTCTTGTGCCAACCCGCTACGCAACGGCTGTTGGAAAACAATGACGACCAACAGCCCGGCCCCGTGCAACACCAGCTATTAATTGTTCTCAAGGATCATCACAGTCGACAGGACGATGACAAAGCCCCCGTACTTCACCGCAGAAATAGGCTACGTCGCTCAGACATATTGCAAGACGATGATGATCCATGTGCGCACGGAGCACGAGGGGACGACCAGCCACTCACAATTCCCAAGAAACTGAGGAATCTGGTGAGACTGACACAGGATGATGACCCCTCGATGACTATACGACCAGGCGTTATCCTTTTCCCGCTCAGAAGGAGCAAGGAAGATGGAGAATGGCAGCTAGGGCTCAGGCCACCGTTGGACCAACCAGACGACCCCTTGGCCCGGGCAGGCCTCACAGTGGAAGGATGGAGGGGAAGCCCCTCCACTCGAGCAATCCTGAAAAGGATGAAGTATTGGATAAAAGAGT